GATTGAAGATGTCGATGTTACAAATGTACCCCGTCAAGTGGCTGACAATTTGCTCGAGTTTGCTGATAAATGGGCACGGCTACATGTCAGGATGCCCAAAGGCTTAGACGAGGTAAGCTTTAGTACAAGAATTGATATGCAGTCAGAATTACCAAAATCAAGCAATCAGTCAATCAATACATTAGTTGATTACTCAGTAAGTTAGTCACTTGACTTGGTAAAAGGGACTCATGATTTGTGGGTCACACAGTTCAATAGCTAGCCACTCGGTCAGCCAGTGGGTTGTTTAGTTAGACGGTTAGTCAGTCAGTCACTCAAAACAATTAGTTAGTCAGTCAACGGGTCAGCCTGCCAGTCAGTCAACCAGCCAATCAGTCAGCCAATCATTCAGTCAACCGGTCAGTCAACCAGTCAATCAGCCAGCCATTCGGTCAGTCAACCAGTCAGTCAGTCACTATGTCCGTCTGTCGGCCAGCCTGTCATTTCACTTTCATAGTCAGTCTGTCACTTTCAATTAACATGGTAGTACATAAATTGAATCATTAAATCCATGGGTTTTTCTACTCCCTCCTAGTCTAATTGATTTCTATCAGTCCCTTAAATTATTTAATGTATCTCGGGTGTCCTTAGGTCTCTGAGGTGTCTTCAAAAGTGGTTTCTTGGGGAACAGTGACCTTTGACACTGACAACAGCGACTCAGGAGTCGGGAGTACCAGTGGAATGTTGGAAAAGGAATTCAAATCAAACTTAGACGCAAGCGAGAAAGTTACTGTGAAAATTGCGGTTGGACTTTGGGGTAGGTGAATCCAGATACCTGAAGTAGCTCGATTAAAAAAAATTCTTACCCCCCAAAAGAGGATTGTCTTGTAAAGAATGCGAACATATGTATGTGCCACTTTTTTTCCGTTAGGACAACTTTTGCCTCTTGATTTTGAGATATACGGGGGACAGGATGAAAAGTCAATAGACGGAGATACGGGAATCTTCATTAAGGAGATAAAAGAAGGCAGCTCATTGTCGAAAGACGTCAAAGTCGGAGATAAAATTGTTAAGGTAAGATGCATTTTGGTTTCAGACCATACCTCACTTGTGTGACCATACCCTTTATTTCACCGCTTTGTCGTCTAAGATTTGGGTTCCTGAATAGCTCTTCTCTGTTGATCGTCTCGAAATGCAAAATGTTATTTCAAGATTTTATTAAACTTAGTTCTCTGCTACTTAATCTACGCTTCGATCCACAGGTTAATGGTATTGACGTCACAAATGTTCCTCAGCACGCGTTCTTCAACTTATTACGTGGCGCTGACAAAGTTGTTAAGATGCAAATCGCGAAGACTTCTGTCGCAAAGGTTGGTAGAAATTTTCTATTTTTGATGGAACACACGTAATTTGAAGTTTCAAAAGTGAAGTGGTATTTATGCTGGGTGAGAGTGCTCGTCTTCTAGATCGCTGTGGCCTGGGTTCGATTTTTGGACATGGAATTACTTGTTGGCTAAGCTTTTTGTTGGTTCGTGTCCTTGCTTCCAGATTTCTTCTGTCGGTTTTCATTCCGTACAATTTCCGGTTAGCTGTTCAAGTATGTAGTTAGTTACCTTTTCAATTACTTTTAAAAAATGATTTATTTATTGTTTACTGCTTTTGGTCAGGATGATACAGAAATTCAGGTTTTCGAAGATGAGGAAACTGGGGAGAATGAAAGAATTATAGAAATTTCAACTGGTCCTAAAGGTAATGGAATTGTAATTTTGCAGGACTAACCATGCTAAACTCAACGTTTTAAAATGAAAACTACGTGATCTACTTTCTTCTCAGCTAGCAAAATTTATCTTGCAGCTAATTAGGATATTCCAAAAGACTGAATTCTGTATACCGTGAACCTCTTGCAATTCGAAATGACTAGTGTAAAATTTAAGCAGTTTGCCTGTTTTTGCCTTCAGGTCGCACTTGTTTTTGATGATGTTAACCTTGGAGGACTTTCGATCCAGCGGAAATAGAGTGCGTTAATAACCAGGCCGACCTATGTTAGAGAATCAGAGTTAAAATAATTTCAACATTCTGTTCACAGGACGGATTGGTAAACTTGGATTGAAGATCAATGGTGGACGAGATAGGCCTGTTGTACCAGGAGATCCCGGGATTTTCATAACAGCTGTCAAAAGGGGAAGTTTATTGAAAAGAGTCATTGGCCCTGGAGACAAAATCCTTAAGGTTGGTATCTTTCCAGAGAGAAACGCAAGTTTTTTTTTGATCTTCAATAAGATAAAGATGCGCTGAGAATGCGCTCTACTCAGCCGTTAGACGCGTCAGAAGATTCTAGAGGTCGTGATTTAATGCTCAACTGTGATTGGAGGATTTCCATTTGGAATTTTAAAAGGAGGATCAGACCAAACCTCTGTACAAAGTACAGAGGTCAATATGAAACCAAAGATATCCTCTCATATCAAGGTCTTCCGTTTTTTTTATGTTTTATTTTTATTACACAGATTGATGGTGCGAATGTAACAAACGTTCCATTAAGAGTTGCTTTCGACAAGATAAAAGAAGCAGACAGACGAGTGAGGCTACACATCAAAAAAGCGGATACCAGTGAGGTATGCTTGCATTAAAAAAAGGTTCACTTCTATTACAAACGCATGCGGGATTTTTTTTCAGCGAAACCAATGGTTACTTTTCTTATCCTGTGAATAGCCTATATCGTTAGAAGCTCTGCGACCCACAGACTGAAACTCTTCAACAGGCTTGGCTTGGAATTGATACGGCCTTGTGGACTTTGAGATTGTCGTGATGACCAAGTAACCCTTTACACAGTAACACCAATATGCAATTTCTCCATACTGTTCTCTATACATTTCCCAAGGTGCTAACAAGGAGAAATGGTTTAACGATCAATAGCTTCTTTAGTTCGTGATTGTTTCCTTTATTTCCGGATTAGCGAAATGAACTGCGAATTCTGTTTTAATCTAAGGTTAGAGTCACCTCACCGCAAAATTTCAGACCTCACACGTTATGCTTCCTTCGGCACCCTTCATGCTTTACGTTTCAGGTGCAACGATGATCTTGGGGCAGAACTATCGGCCTGTAAGAGCGCATGCCAACCCAGCAACACTTTAAAGCCGATATGGTTGTTAGTTCCTGGGCTTGTTCCGAAGTATGCTTTCCCAGTTATCCGCATTTTTTCTTCCTCCACAAAGTACAAAAACGTGGATGATTCACTGCTGCTTCACTTTTCAGAAAACTGTTTGAATCAACTACTTAGCAGGCACCGATGTCACTAAAATAGGCACATACATAGTTGAACACTGTATTTTCACTTTGCAGCATGACATTTCGGAAAGAAAACGAAAGAGTTTCGCGCAGCAGGCCGCGAGGTCTTTTTCTGAAGAGCAGTTGCAAGGTTAGCGTTTGTATCATCATTAACCCTGAAAAAGTTGTCGCCTCAGACTTAACCATCTTATGGAAGGAGATTGTCTCCTTTTGCAGAATACAAGACAGCATTTTCAGTGTACGATAGAACAGGATCGGGTAAAATATCTCTGAAACAAGTCATGCAACTATGTCGTTCGCTTGGCTATAATCTCACATCAACCGACAGGGATGTCATCACTACTGAATATAGCCTAACAGGTGAGACCCTCACGCCAGGTCTTGATAAACCAAGTAGCCCATCCTGCATAAGCTTTTTCACATTTCTGTAGCAGAAAGTTTCTGAAAACATTGCCATTCCTCCCTGGATGGTATCCTGGCCATTGCAAATCTCTCCTCCCAGTATTTCGTCGGATTTTCCTGTTAGCTCGCCGATATCCATAAGTATGATTACGCGGAGAAATTAATTCGCCCTCAGCACAATGGCCTGGGCGCGAACTTGGACCTCTCAAGGGACCGAACATTATTTATCGCCAGGGGGGGTCGGAAGGGGATCGGTGCCATGATGAAAATCTACCCGATCCTCCATAAGGCTTTGTAATGTTCTACAGTTCCCCCCTTTGTTCTCTGTTGGCGACGACTGATCCCCACCCCATTCCCCCCTGAAAACCATCTGCTCAACCAAAAATCCTTCGACCCCTCCCTAGTCGATGAATAAATGAATGATGATTAGTCCTTAAGTTTAGCGCTCCCTTAGCCAATAACTAATCAATAATTTGTCGCTTGTCATGCGATACTTAAAAGATGAAATCCAAAACCTTGTCTCTTTTCGTGTAGGTGACGGTAAAATCTCTTTCCTGGATTTCATTCCGATAATAACCAAAATCAGCTCTTTTCATCAAAGCGATTCAGATCTGATGGATGCATTTGAAGTGTTCGACCGAGAGGAGAAGGGTTTTTTCAGACTACATGAGCTTGAAGACGCTTTAAAAAAAATGCCGGGTTCGGAAGGGATGACAGAGGACGAACTTGCGGACATTCTTCAGTTAGCAGATCCCGATGGTGATGGACATGTTATCTTTGAAGGTTGGTAAGAGAGGAATTGAAAATAGAAAAGCAAAAATTAAAAGGGTCGTTTTTTACATCTCTTTTAGCTCTCGAAGGTTTCTTCATTTTTCTTTCCTTTTTTTTCTTTTGCTGTAGTGTCTCTTGTTCCTTTACATCCTTTTTCTCTCTCCCAACCCAGCTCTTCTCTCTCTTCTCTCTCCTTTCCCTTTTTCTGCCCCTTAAACTCTTCTTTCCTCTCCTTCAGTATCTCTTGTCTTTCACACAGATGCGTACTTTCTATTAAATTCTATCTTCCGCTTTACTTGCGCATCCTCCTCCTCTTCCTTTGCTTTCTCCTTCTTCGATTTCCCTTTCTTCGGCTTCTCGTCTACATCCTCATCCGCCTTGTCTTTCTCCCTCTCCTCCATACTGAACTCCTCCTCTTATCCTTCTGCTGCCTTCTCCTTCTCTCCTCTCTTTTCTCTTCTCAGATCACGTAGGAACCCTGATCGAATGTAACGTTACTCCTCGCCTGATAATTGAGGAGGAGAACTAGGCCGTAGTTACAACTGTAATGCCAGTGCATTTTGACTTCTAATAATTATAATAATACATTTCCTTGTTTTCTCTCCAGAATTCCAAAATCTCATGTTGCCTCTCTTCAACCAAAGCTAATCCAGAAAATTTCTATGTTCGCTAAATTGCGACAAGACAACTATGGCCAATGATGAAATTATTTAACAGTATGCACTAAGGACAAGAACTGAAACCATAACCAACATCAGAATAATATTCTTCCGACATCAGAGGAAAAGTATTTGGACCATGATCGGTTATGAATGCAGCTAATGTTGGCATAACATAGTTCATATATATGATGTGGATTGGCAAAATCTCGCCAATTTATGGCAAAATTTCATAAAAACCAATCACTGGATGAAAATTTGCAGATAAATACGCATAGTATAAATCTATTTTGGTGAAAGTTCATGTTTTAACGGAAAACGCACAGCTATCGATCGATTACTGGCCGGGAAGTATGTCATTTGACAAGATAAAGGAGGAATATCCTCATGAATCCTCTAAAGAGGAATGAATATGTTTTTAGACTTATTTTTTTAGATGAAGTAATTGGTTACCCACGCTGAACAGGATTTAAATGATAGATAATTTTTTTTTGACTGTCATACAGTGAAGTCTTGATCCGCTCAATAAAAGAAATTTGTATATGCTCATGATCCTTCAAAAGTTACCTTTCCTTAGCCTTCAATTCATGAAAGTAACGTATGATGTGTGATACATTGTTACTTTAAAAACGTCAGGACCCCATGACCATTACAGACTTCTGAAAACGTGTGTCTGAAATCGAAAACTGTGTCTCTTTTCTCGGATGTGTTGAGCAACGTACATATAAATCCCTTTTTTCCGCCCTCTACCCCTCTCTTGCAGGTAAGTTATGCTTCGTTAGATGTGCTTCATTATGTGAATCGTGAGGAAGTATATTGGACTAACCTTTTCTAGACACTGTACATTGTGACTTTCTTAACGCTTTTTAACTGAAATGGGGAGTTGCCATGTAGACGCTATTCAGGGACTTATTGGTCTGTTTATTTAAAAAGTTTAGCCGTTTTTAACAAACCCGCGTCCTAACCAGTCCACAATTTAGTTGAACCGTTTATCTAACCATTTATTTTTGTTAACAACGTCAAGAGATTCGAAAGCTCAGCTAACAGTGGAAGGATATTCATTTCGTCAAATCAACTCTCTTACAGGGAGCCAACTTATTGCGTGAAACCGTGGTTTGGGTTAGACCGCGTGTAAATAAGCGGCCCAATGTATTTTCCTCCCATATGCATTGTTTTCCATTGATCTTGGTGCGACATTGGTTTCTAAAGTCAAAGTTAATGTATTATTTACCTGATTATGTTATGTCGCACTGTATAGTAAAAAACTTCACACTTGCAGCTTTGTAAGTACACTTATCGCTGTTTATTATAACAGGTCATCGCACTTCGTAATAAAATAGGCTGTCACACCTGTTGCACTTTGTAATAAACTTGGAATGGATTGTCGTATGGCACGTAGAACTAATGAGATACGACAGCTTTTTTCATTACAAAGTACAACAAGTGTTATTAAAAATATGTCAGTTTCATTACAGAGTGTGACAAGTATCACAAAATGAGACGCTTCTTATAAAGCGCGGAAGAACAGATCATATACTGGTTTCACCTCACCGAATTAATATGTTGAAGCTCATTCTGTAGCTAATGAATGAATGTGTTATTCTTTGATCTCACTGGTTTGTCAATTCACTGGTTTGTTAATTTTGCACTTATTTATTATTTCTTTATGATAATTTTTAAGTGTGTAAACATTCCATTTCTGATATTCGTTGTCGGGACGTGACGAGGAAAACAGCTTCGAGCCATATGGTAAGTCTGAAGTCGTTTTGTTAAATTTTTCCGCTGTCCTGTCAAGATTTGGCTTTACTGTGCCTTCATCTTGAGCATTATTGTGCTCAACTTTCCAAAGATGTTTTATAGAATTTCGCACGGGGAGAAATTTGCCGATATGTTTGAACTGAATGAGACAATAATGTAAGAGTATTCTGTTCATTGAGAATACAGCGCATATTGCAACTTGTAGAACGTGCAGTATCTGTAATCCTTTAAGAACTATGGAGGTGCTCTGACCTGTACCTATTTATTCACGGAGAAGACACAGCTCGTGTTATTCTCTAGTTTACATGTCTCTGAATTAATGTGGTTTACAAATTTCAAATGCTACTTAGAAAAACAATTCTATTGAGCGCTCTCAGTTATCGCTTGAATTTGACGTGACAGCATAAAGGAAGGCGAAATCTGCTGTCAATGTGACTCAAACATGTTTGGGGCCTGGACAGACCAGCCAGTAAACCAAACCTTGTGTTCATTGCTTTAAGGTGTGAACGAGGGTAAAGCATTGGAGAAAGTTCATTCCAGCCGGTGTTAATCTCTTGTCAATAGAGGTGTTTAAAACATTAGAAAATATGCATCTGCTCCTGGCATCTATAAATAGAAAGAACATATATTTAATGGGAAAATAACAGCAGTAGAGAAAGATGATAAAGATTTGGCAGAAGCGTGAGGCAATGCAACATATCGTTGCCCCCCAGCGATGATTCGAGTTTTGCGCTACAGGCTGATCATCCTGTAAAAGTAACATTGATACTGAGATTTTTCGGACCACGATGCGTGGAAAATTTGTTTATACGTCCTCCATTCGTGATCGCCACACGTTTATGCTTATTTATATAGAATGTATTACATTTCAACACACACTAGGTTGTCCACCTGTGCTAAAACCTTCTCATACTGCATTCCAACGCCTTCCCACTTAAGCTTCGAAGGCCTTAGTGGATTGAGGAACTTTCAGTCGACTTTGGACTTTGCGCGAAACCAAGCTTAGATGATTCCGAATTCTTGATGCAGGGTCAGAGTTACAATATTTTATCAATCAGAACTAATTCAAGCATTAATTATCAGGGACTGACAGAATCAACACCGTGGAGTTCTCCAGAAAACAGAGCTGAAACATTACAACAAGATGGAGCAGAAACATCATCATTGAACGAGAAATCAAAGAGGCAGGAACGACAACAGGATCCACGTTCTGTTGAAATGATCGTTGAGGTACAAGTTACTGGTGATTGACCAATAAATGGATAGTTTTACTTCGCTTCGCTCATTTGATTAGTCTTGGAAAACTCTGAGCCATAGTCAGATGCAGCCAGATGAATGTCTGAATCGTTACCTCGTCGCTCCCTGTTTCATGCACTTTGGACTGTTGGCTTGCTTTCACTTTGAGATTGCGTCGTCAGC